TATATATATATATATATATATATATATATATATATATATGTATGTATATATGTATATATGAATGTATATATGTATATATGAATGTATATATGTATATATGAATGTATATATATATATATATATATATATATATATATAAATATAAAGAGTTATTCTTACTATTAGTATAGTAAACTATATTAAGACATTGCAGACATTTTCAAACACAAAAACGTGCATTTAATTTTTCGTTTTTGCTCGCGCAAAAGAAATAATCACAGGAAATAAATAAATTAGGCGAGAAAATCATAAATAAATGTAAAAAAATATAGGATCTGAGAAGCATACGAAACTCAGAGAAGCATCCAACATGCCTTGATTTTGTCTAGCTTCTGTAACACTGCCTAAAAAAGAAACAAGAGAAGAAATAGTGAATATATCGTCGAAAGCACATAGTGTGCGGCAGTTGTGCACACTACAGACAATTTAGCGCACAGAGACTTGTTACTTTATTACACTTAGAAAATTGCGTAAATATTCAGAAAAGGTCACTTTTCAATCACTTTTTAATTTGAGATATATTGTAGTGAAAATTATTTAAAATAATTTTCAGAAAGAACCAAGTGGAAGACAGCATTGGTTGTCGAGGTATTATAAAATGAAATTTAAAATTTGGTTACTTTTTTTCCGAAGCATTATAATTCACTTTAGTAAACAGTATGTTTATGTAGGCAAGTTACTATGAATACATTATGGGATAAGCAGCTAAAAGTAACCAAAAGAAGACTTTCCGCTATGTATAAAATAGCAAGTTCTGAAAAGATTAGTATAGACCTCTACACAAGGTTTGAATTTAAATGTGTAACGAAACTTATAAAGAATTATTTTTATGATAAGTCATTTAAATTGAAATTGTGAAGCCTTTGCTAACTTTTTTAGAAATTATTTTAGTATATAATAAACTCATCAGTCTAATAAGACAAACCATTTCAATAACAAAATTTTTTAACACATTAGCGTCGGATAACGCACAGGTGCGTCATCTGGATTTTTGATTTAGGTCCGGATGACGTGAAAATACGTCATTGGGATTTTCATATATCTGTCTTAATGTAAATTTATAAAGCAGTATAAATGATACAATTTCTCTTCATAAATGTCACATGTTTCACGAGTTAAAATAATTGTATACGTTTTCAACTTTTTGTTCTTTTCGTGATTATCGATACTGGAATTGTGTATATGTTAGAGCGATAAGGTATAAACACAATGAGGTATCCCTTTACATTTGATAAAATAATCGTGCATCGACAAATCAAGAGTAAAATTTTTTAATATTTTCTTGATCTCTGCAACAGTGCTGGGAGTTTGTGCCTGCGCATGCCAGAACACGCGAAACAAATTACTATTTTAAAATTTAATTATGTTAAAATGTAATTTTGTTTTGAACATTATTTCAATGTCAAATTTATATATTATTATTTTTATACTTTATTCATGTGTAATATTTTCAAAAATGTTAAAATTAACATTTAATTTTTTCTTATGTATGCTACTGTGAGAAGAATACCAAATTTTTATTTTTTAATAAAAAAGTTGAGAATCTCTGAAAATTGTATGTTAGAAAGTGTAAATTATGCAAAAAAGTAATTTACCACTTTCCTCAACATTTCTTTGAGAAATATTAACTATTTAAAAAGTTATAATAGTTCTTTTCTTTCTAACGTAACACGATTAAAAGAAGAGATGCGAAATATTCCCATATCCACGTCAAACGCGGTCCCAAACACCCTGACATTAATATATTAATATGTAAATATAATACATACAATAAATAGTTTGGATAGTAGCAGATTGAGAGCCGTTTATATACTGTCAGGAATAGATGAAAACAATTGCCAATAATATATAATATAATAGAAATTTAAAAAAAAATATAAACAAAGACTTCTTCCAGTTAGAAGCAGTGATGCCATTTTCAGGTTGACTATACGTTTCAGCCTACACGGTCGCTTATTTGTGTGCGTACCCCTCCACACGCTAAAGTATATAGCCCAGACCTGAAAATGGCATCACTGGTAAGAAAGTGAGCAATAAATTAATATAGCGTATATTAACGTCGTTTACAACATCAGCATATATCTAGAAAAAAAGATATTAAACTTTATTTTATTACATCTTGAAAATTAACGGCGTCACCTACTTGATTTTTGTTGAAAATCATTTTTCCCTATCAAATATATTGCTATTAAAAGTACTGGTGAAATGTGACCTTACTTGGCTATTTATCGAAAATTCTAACATAACGTACTAAATGATAAGTAATACCTGCACGTCGTTACATTTATTATGGTGTACCGTCTGCATGTCTTCCGAACTGATATCTCTGGAGATATTGGTAGTTTCGGATACTGAATCCTCTGGTGAATATTCGATGCCACTTTCATTCGCCAGGAAAGCGACAATCACAATCGTGCCGCCATTTAAAATATCCTGCGGCGGATAGGAAAGGTTCAGTCCATCGATATTGAAATTCGTCAAGTGTTGAACATAGCCGAGGGACTTGGGCAGCTTCTGCAGTGACTTGTTGTGACCAATGTCTAAGGCAGTGAGCTGCTGCAGCTGTCCGATCTCTTCGGGCAGCTGTTTTAGATTATTCCTCGAGACGTTGAGGACTGTTAGTTTGCTTAGTTGAACTATCTCGTTGGGCAGTTTGCGAATATTGTTGTCTTGTAAATAGAGTTCCTAGGGGATATATACGATATATGAGAAAAAAGGACAATAAATATAATAAAATAAAAGCTTTTATGTTAAATAGCCAATAAAAGCTTATGTATTAGTACTTATATATAATGCAATAATAGATAGAGAAAATAAATAAAAAAAATGATAATTATCCATAATAAGTTGACCTCACCGATTTCAACGGCCTTGAAATATGTTGTTTAAATTATGATTCTCTTAGTAATCATTAAAACATTTCAATAGCCATTCATTGATTATTAAACAATTATTTAAAAAAGTTTGAAGAAAATATTAGTTAACCCGTTTCGCCCCAAAATGATCTAAATTTTGTCTTTTCTTCATTACAATAATTTTGACAGAAAACATTTATAGATCTTTCCGGCACTCGATACCCTATAGATGTAAGACATATCCTTTCTGAATCTGAAGTCCATTTTTTGCTATCATGCGCCATTTTTTCAATATGGCGGCTGAAACGCCAAAAATTTAAAAAAATAGAATATCGTTTGTTCGTATCTCACTTTTCGACATGAATCTGTCATAGGATCGTGCTAGTTGTCTGGATCTGATGGAATAATGTATTTAGTTAAAATATGGTACTATGCAGATAAAAAAATTTATTATGGTACATTCAATATGGCAGTTTTTATAAGAACATTTTTGTTTTTATCGCTTTTTTCAGATTATTTATCCCTTACTTGAAAATAGAGGTCGTATAAAATTTTTTTTTAAACAAAAGTTGTTAGTTTCTTTACGTAGAATAAAATTCTATAATAGAAAAATAGATGTTTCTATTTAAAAAGCAAAGTTGACCTTCAAATAACATTCAAAGTGACTTCCAAGGTCAAAGTCAAGATCACCTTTAGATGTCTCCCTCTGAACCCGACAACTTTTGTCTGAAACATTTTTGCTGAATATGCTTGGCTGAAGAATTATCAGGATGCATCTTTTAAAATGGGACATCCTGTATTATTGATTTTTTTTAGCAAAGCAATTAGGGAAGCTTTCGGTAATCGGCATACATACGAAAATGTAAGCAATGACGTTTAAGATATGCAGATACAATTCCCAGATAGGACAGATAATTCAAAAAGAATTCAGTCGTACGTCACCAATTCTGAGTTCATTTTTAGATGCAAAAAGAATTCTTTTCACTGAACTTTGAAGAATTCTTTTTGCATCTAAAAATGAATTCAGAATTGGTGACATACAACTGAATTCTTTTTTAATTCTTTGTGCTATCTAAATTATTATCTTGAAAAGTTAAAATATCAATTTGCACATCAGTGATGCCATTTTCAGGTTCGGACTACACGGAGCGTGTATAATTGTATTGTATATCTTAAACGTCATTGCTTACATTTTCGTATGTAAGCCGATTACCGAAAGCTTCCCTAATAGCTTTTAGCTTTGCTAAAAGAATCAATAACATAAGTAGACTTCCATCTCGATTGACTTTCGATATTCTGTCCTGCGTGACAACTCGCAACTCTCTTTTTAAAATGTATCTTTCTTTTTTATCATTGCATTTAACTTTATGCGTTTCTATTCTACAAATACAATAACCTATCATATAACTGCATATTGATTAGCAAAAAAGTTAGAAAATATTTTTATCGAAATTATACAGATAATCTATATTTCAGATTCTTTGTAAGTGCGATAGAAAGTTAAAAAAGTAGTAAATCTCTCAATTACCCATACGTTATAGTTAATATGTTTTATCATATTAACCCGAGAGTGGGCGCATTAACGGGACCAACGTTAGTGGACGCCATTTCGACCGAAATATATTTAAGCACATATATGTGTAATAATTAAGTAATAATAAATTACCAATCCAATTATTAAAAGAAACATAATAATTGAAAGAAATAATTTTATGATGTCACTATTTCTTTTTTTCCCATCTTTTTTTCTCTTTATCATTTCTATGTCTAATATATTTAGGAAACATATTATATATATTAAACTTATTATACATATGTGAATATATTAAAAATAAAATCATAATATTTTTATTTTAATTGCATTAATATAAAATTATATTCTTTTAGTTTAATAAAATAAAATAAGAATTTCTTGCTTCTCTTATTTTACTTTGATTAACTTAAACATTGATTTAATAAACTTAAAAATTTACTTGGTAAATTTAGAAATAGAGAATAAATCTTCTTGATTTAATGGCAATATTAAAATTATTACATTATGTATTGTTTCAATAATTCAAGTATTAATTTTAATAATATCGCTATTGAATCAAAAATATATATTTCAATTACGCGTGCTGTTGAAAATTTTATTGATTCAACAAAAAAGAGAGAACCGTCCGTCCAACTACGATGTTGGAAAGACAATAGACGTTCGGCGATATATCGAGCGACAGAGATAAAAGACTAACGTTAGTAGGCCGCTATGGTCTTTTAGACCGACTAAAAACGTATCAAATTTCACATAGAAATAAGCGCGTCTACGCCGTCTACTTCTTCATGTTATACAAGAAAACATCAAAGAAAATTTACGTAAAAGCGAAAATACAATAATATCAATAAATTAGATGATATAAGTAGAAAACGAAAAAGTACGGGAAAATACCGATACGCGCCCACTTCCGGATTAAGCATTATGTTATTTTATTATTATATATGATATTAAAAAAACATGTACAATTATTATAGGCGCTCGCTGGTTTTGCGCGTTATTGGCACGATTCATCTCAAGCTTTTAAATGCATTTCTTTCCGGTTAAGGGAGCACGCAAAAGGAGGGATAAGTGAAAAAGAATGGGTTGTGAGTAATAAGATCGCTGCTAGCTCGTGCCTGCTGCTGTAATTGTCAGCAGCAGGCACGAGCAGTCTTTGAAACAAAGACAGATAGAGATTCGCTGTCCATCATTGTCTAACTCATATCTACTCAGAGTCGTAGCACATAATAAAACCTAATCGTATTCACCAAACGACGAGAATACTGGACAAAGCTCTTACTCTTACCACTATAGAGCTTTGGTTCCATTGTCAACTCGGAGTTCTCGGCTGATTACCCAGGAGTCTTAAGGGAATGCTGAAGTTAATGACACATTTTTTCGAACAATGTCGATAATGCAGAGACGATCATCACTAAATAATCACGCTTTTTATATTTCTTGTACATATAGAACTTATGTAAATGTATGCTTTGTTTTACTATATTCAGTGGAAAACTTAACTATGTATTTCTTAGAAATCTTTCTGCAAACTTTTCGAATATTTTTAAGCTGCTGAAATCAAATGCAAAAGTACAGCAATATTTTTTTAAATTTTTCTCTTTGGAGTATACTTTCGACATGTACAAGCTGCGGAACTTTTAGATTAGGAAAATATACTAACTGACAGCTTGAGATTTTACATTCAAAATTTTTTTTTATTTTCGTCACATATTGAGCAATGCTCTTATTTATTTTTACACGTACTTTCAATGCGTAAAAATGTGGAATTCTGTACAACCAATACGACGTAAACTTTGCAGAAAATGTCAGTATTTTGTCGGTAAAGTTTTCAGCTTTAGCATCTCTTTAAAGAACGAATTTTCTTTGTAAGTGAATAAATTTATTATATGTCACACACACACACACACACACACACACACACACACACACACACATAAAA